TAACAATGGATTATCTCATATAAAAATAAAAGTACAAACAGTAAAAGAGAAAATAAATAAGTGGGACCTCATAAAAATTAAAAATTTTTGTTCATCAAAAGACTTTACTAAAAATGTGAAAAGATAAGCTACGAACTGGAAGAATACCTTCAGAAACCATATATCTGATAAGAATCTAATAACCAAATATGTATAATATAAACTTCGACAACTTAACAACAAAAAGACAAATAACCCAGTCATAAAATGGATTGTTGTTGTTAGGTGCCGTAGAGTTGGTTCCAACTCATAGTGACCCTATGTACTACAGAACAAAAGTGTCCGGTCCTGTGCTATGCTCACAATCATTGTTATGGTTGAGCCCATTGTTGCAGCCACTGTGTCAATCCATCTCATTGAGGATCTTCCTCTTTTTCACTGACCCTGTATTTTACCAAAATGATGTCCTTCTCCAGGGACTGATCCCTCCTGATGTCCAAAAGTAGGTAAGACGTAATCTCGCCATCCTTGCTTCAAGAAGCATTCTGTTTGTACTTCTTCCAAGAGAGATTTGCTCATTCTTTTGGCAGTCCATGGTATATTCAATATTCTTTGCCAACACCACAATTCAAAGACATCAGTTCTTCTTCTGTCTTCCTTATTCATTGTCCAGCTTTCACATGCATATGATGTGATTGAAAATACCCTGGCTTGGATCAGGCACACTTTAGTCTTCAAGGTGACATCTTTGCTTTTCAACACTTTAAAGAGGTCTTTTGCAGCAGATTTGCCCAATGCAATGTGTCTTTTGATTTCTTGACTGTTGCTTCCATAGGTGTTGATTGTGGATCCAAGTAAAATGAAATCTTTTATATCAATCTTTTCTCCATTTATCATAATGTTGCTTATTGGTCCAGTTGTGAGGATTTTTATTTTCTTTATGTTGAGGTGTAATCCATACTGAGGGTTGTAGTCTTTGATCTTCATCGGTAAGTGCTTCAAGTCCTCTTCGCTTTCAGCAAGCAAGATTGTGTCATCTGCATAATGCTAGTTGTTAATGAGTCTTCCTCCAATCCTAATACCCCTTCTTCTTCATAAGGTTCAGCTTCTCGGATTATTTGCTCAGCATACAGATCGAATAGGTATGATGAAAGGATACAACCCTGACGCACACCTTTCCTGATTTAAACTACACAGTATCCCCTTGTTCTGCTTGAACAGCTGCCTCTTGGTCTATGTACCTGTTCCTCATGAGCACAATTAAGTGTTCTGGAATTCCCATTTTTCCCAATGTTATCCATAACTTGTTATGATCCACACAGTTGAATGCCTTTGCATATTCAATAAAACACAGGTAAACATCTTTCTTTCTGGTATTCTCTGCTTTCAGCCAGGATCCATCTGACATCAGCAATGATATCCCTGGTTCCACGTCCTCTTCTGAATCTGGCATGAATTTCTGGCAGTTCCCTGTCGATATACTGCTGCAGCCACTTTTGAATGATCTTCAGCAAAATTTTACTTGCGTGTGGTATTAGTGATATTGTTTGATAATTTCCGCATTCAGTTGGATCACCTTTCTTAGGAATAGGCATAAATATAGATCTCTTCCAGTCGGTGGGCCAGGTAGCTGTCTTCCAAATTTCTTGGCATAGAAGAGTGAGCACTTCCAGTGCTGCATCCATTTGTTGAAACTGATATTCCATCAACTCCAGGAGCCTTGTTTTTCACCAGTGTCTTCAGTGCAGCTTGGACTTCTTCCTACAGTACCATCAGTTTCTGATCATATGCTACCTCTTGAAATTGTTGAACGTCGACCAATTTTTTTTGGCATAATGACTCTGTGTATTCGTTCCATCTTCTTTGGATGCTTCCTGCATCATTCAATATTTTCCCCATAGAATCCTTCACTACTGCAACTCGAGGCTTGAATTTTTTCTTCAGTTCTTTCAGCTTGAGAAATGCCAAGCATGTTCTTCCTTTTTGGTTTTCTATCTCCAACTCTTTGCACATGTCATTATAATACTTTGTCTTCTCGAGCCACCCTTTGAAATCTTCTGTTCAGTTTTTTTACTTCATCATTTCTTCCTTTTACTTTAGCTACTTCACGTTCAAGAGCAAGTTTCAGAGTCTCTTCTGACATCTGTTTTGGTCTTTTCTTTCTTTCCTGTCTTTTTAATGACCTCTTGCTTTCTTCATATATGATGTCCTTGATGTCATCCCACAACTCGTCTGGTCTTCGGTCATTAGCGTTCAATGTGTCAAATCTATTCTTGAGATGGTCTCTAAATTCAGATAAGATATATTCAAGGTCGTACTTTGGCTCTCATGGACTTGTTCTGATTTTCTTCAGTTTCAACTTGAACTTGCATATGAGCAATTGATGGTCTGTTCCACAGTCGGCCCCTGGCCTTGTTCCAACTGATGATATTGTGATTTTCCATCGTCTCTTTCCATAGATTTAGTCGATTTGATTCCTGTGTATTCCATCTGGTGAGTGTTTGCAATGAAGTTGTTGGTCTTGCAAAATTCTATCATGTGATCTCCGGTATCGTTTGTATCACGAAGGCCATATTTTCTACTACCAATCCTTCTTCGTTTCCAACTTTCGCATTCCAATCACCAGTAATTATCAATGCATCCTGATTGCATGTTTGATCAATTTCAGACTGTGGAAGCTGGTAAAGATCTTCAATTTCTTCATCTTCGGCCTTAGTGGTTGGTGTGCAAATTTGAATAATAGTCGTATTAACTGGTCTTCCTTGTAGACGTATGGATATTATCCTATCACTGACAGCATTGTACTTCAAGATAGATCTTGAAAAGTTCTTCTTGATGATGAATGCAACGCCATTACTCTTTAAGTTGTCATTCCCAACATAGTAGACTATATGATTGTCCGATTCCGAATGGCCAATACCAGTCCATTTCAGCTCAGTAATGCCTAGGATATTGATGTTTATGTGTTCCATTTCTTTTTTGACTATTTCCAATTTTCCTAGATTCATACTTTGTACATTCCACATTCTGATGATTAATGGATGTTTGCAGCTGTTTCTTCTCATTTTGAGTCGTGTCACCTCAGCAAATGAAGGTCCTGAAAGCTTGACTCCATCCACATCATTAAGGTCAACTCTACTTTGAGGAGGCAGCTCTTTCCTAGTCGCCTTTTGAGTGCCTTCTAACCTGGGGGACTCATTTTCCGGCACTGTAACAGACAATGTTCTGTTGCTATTCATAAGGTTTTCACTGGCTAATCTTTTCAGAAGTAGACTGCCAGGTCCTTCATCCTAGTCTGTCTTAGGCTGGCTGCTCAGCTGAAACCTGTCCGCCATGAGTGACCCTGCTGGTATCTTAATACTGGTGGCATAGCTTCCAGCATCACAGCAACACACAAGCCCCCATGGTATGACAAACTGACAGACATGTGGGGGCATAAAATGGGTAAAGGACTTGAATAGACATTTCACCAAAGAGGACATTCAAATGGCCACCCAACACATGAAAACATGTTCAACATCATTAGCCATCAGAGATGCAAATCAAACTCACAATGAGATACCATTTCACTCCCACTCAATGGCTAAGGTCAAAAAAAAAAAAAAAAACCCAAAATAACAAATGTTGGTGAGGACGCGAGGAAACTGGAAACCTTACCCATTACTGGTGGGAATGCAAAATGGTATAGCTCTTGTGAAAAAGTGTGGTGGCTCCTCAAAAATCTAAAAATAGAACTACCGTATGACTTAGCAATTCCACTCCTAGATATATACCCAAAAGACTTGAAAGGAGAGACTCAGAGACTTGTACACCAATGTTCATTGCAGCACTATTCACAATAGCGAAAAGGCAGAAACAACCTAAATGCCCATTAACAGATAAATGGATAAACAAAACGCGGTACACACATACAATGGAATACTATTTAGCCAGTAGAAGAAATGAAGTCTTGATACATGCTACAGTATGAATGGAGCTTGAAGACATTATGCTGAGTGAAATAAGCTAATCACAAAAGGACAAATTTTGTATGACCCCACTTATATAAAAAGGCAAGGAAAGGTAAAAGTATAGAGACTAAAGTTTAATAGTGGCTACCAGGGGTGGGAGAGAGAGGAAAAGGAAGGATTGTGATGGAAAAATCACATTAAGGGTAGGGCTGTACAGCCAGTTACTGTAATGCTGTCAATAAGTTGTACACCTGCAACAAGTTGAACTGGCAAAAGTTGTGTGATATATTTACAGCAACAACAAAAAAGAGTAGCCGCTAAGGCTGCTGCTGTACAACCAAAACCCTCATGGGATTTGGTTTCTTGGTTTGGAGGTTTAGGGTCATAGTTTCATGTGACATCCCAGTTAATTTGCCTAATAATGTGTTTAGTGCTTCTGTTCTACCTCCTAGTTCAATGCATAGTGCCTGGGGTATTAAAAGCTTTGAAGCAGCAATCCAAGACAATTGGTCTCTATTTACCTGGAGCAACAGAAGAAGAAGGAGAGAAAGGAGAGTCAGGAAGGGGGTTAATTGCCTCCATGAACCTTTGTCATGAGACCAGAACTGCATGGTGCCTGGCTACCATTACTGAACATTTTGATTAAAGATTCCATAAAAGAATTCTTATGAAAAGGGGAGAATGCAGAAGAGAAATTCAAATACTCATGAACTCAACTTTCTGGAGCTATGATGGCTCGATGAACCCCTGAAACTATTGCCCTGAGATAATCTTTAAAACTTAAACCAAAAATATCCCAAGGTCTTCTTAAAACCAAACAAGAGTTTAGCTTAAGTAGTAAAAAATGTCTGCCTTGAGCATTATACTCTTTTAAGAACTATGTATATGGGATTGAATTGACAACAGCAACTTGAAACACAGGAATCTTAGGGGGCAGTGAGTTTATGTTAATGGGGGAGGAAAAACTCAGAAAAGGAGGGTGAATGGTTGCACAACTTGAAGAATGTGATCAATATCACTGAATTGTACGTGTAGAAATGGATTAATTGGCATATGTTTTGCTGTGTATATTCTCAACAACAAAATAAAATTTAAATAAAAGATTTTAAAAAAGGAAAAGCCCTTTCCAGCATGACCTTTGAGACGCTTGGCAGATCTTATGACCTAAGACTCTTACAATAGTTCCTTTCTTATTACAATAGTCCCCTTTCCCCATCTTGCAATAATTCTTTTAAGTAAAGTTTTTCCTACCTAAAAAATAATAATAAAATTGATAAAAAGCACTCTCCCTTCCCTTACATAATGATTTATACTTGGTGTCCCTTAATGCAATCTCCATGAGGGCAAGGTCTTTTGTCTGTTTTGTTCATGGATGTATCTCCAGTGCCTGTAACAGTACCTGGCAGATAGTAAGTGTTCAATAAATATTTGCTGGACTAATGAATGAGATACAAACATAAATGCTGAGGGTTTAAAAAATTTCAACCTGAAGAAAAATCTGAATTATGATGGTGGATAAGAATGGATATGTGTTTGAAGAGCCCCAGAAGGAGGGCATTTTCATGCTGATTCCACAAACATTTGTCAGGCTCTTTGGATCACAGGACAGAACACATAGGAGGATAGAAAAACACTGACGATATAATTGCTACCTTCCAAGTTTACAATTTAGTACAGTATCTAGGACATGCATATACTTTCTTAGCCTCTCCATTTGCCCTACTACAGTGTGCCCATTCCACAATCCACCATATTAATTCCCTACTTAAAATACTTCAAGAACTCACTAGTGCCCTGAAGATAAAGCCTGAAGTTATTGCTGTGGCTTACACAGAACTTCCTGATCTGCCTGAGTTTACCTCATCATCTTTGTTTCCTGCGGGTTCCACACTCCAGCCAATTTGAAACACTGGCTATTCCCCAAATATACCACACGTTCTCGTTTCTGGGTTTTTATTCATTGTTTTCTCTACCTGTAATACTCTTCCTATCTCCTCCTGTATCAGTTAGCTTTTACTGCCTAACAAACCATCCAGCTCTCTCATGTTTCAGAAGACTTCTTCACACGCTGGTCTCAAGTTTCCTAGTAGGAAGACGCCAAGTCCCAATGTACTTTTCAAATCTCTGCTCGTGTCACATTTGCTCATGTCCCATTGACCAAAGACAGACATGGCAGCAGCTGCAGTCACAATGAATGGGGCAAGCTTATAGGAACGGGAAATGGGAGGAATTATTGGCATTCTTCTTAGTGAACAACTTACTATACTTCCTCACCCCTTTGTCAGCTCCTACTCATCTTCTGGTCTCAATCTAAAAATTACCTCCTTTGGGATGATTTTCCATCAGCCTGATTTTCCAAAGCCTATGTGAAAAACATCTCCCATAACACCTTACACTATTATTACATTTATTATTCTCTCTTGTCAATGAATGACTGAATGAGTCTATATGATAAATGTTGGACCTCCAGTTCAAAGAACTGGGTTGGCTGTACTGCAATTTACGGCAAAGTCATGTTAGTCTTCCCTGCCTGGCAGGGAGGTCACTGAAAGGACAGCATGTACTTTAATTTATTCTTCACTTTGTACCTGAAACAAAGTAGGCATTTAAAAATGTCTGTAAAATAAAACAAACATATAACTATAATGTAAAATAAACACATAACTATAAGGAAAGTAAAAAAGGGTAGTTGCCATTAGAAAGGCACAAAGAAAGTGTTCTTGAGGCCTCTGTTTTGCAAGATTCAGCAGGTTGCAAACACTTAGGAAGATCTGAGACAGCACAAAACTAAGTGAATTAAGACTGAAATGCCCATCAGAGGGGAGAAAAGAAGAGAAAATCAGCCACAGAAAGCAATACTCTCTTTTTTATTAGATTTACAAAGCCATTTTAAAGTCCAATCTCTCCTTTGTATATTTTGTCTTTTTTATTAACTTTCTCATTAGAAAGCAGAGAAACTCTGTCCTTGAAAGATACATCTTCTACTTGCGCTTCAATTTCTTCCAGCACTTGGTACAGCACTCAATTCTCAGGCCTGCACCCATATGGTTTACCACTTGTAATAAAGACCAGCATCTCGGAGAAAAGCACTGTAAAGGCCAGGAAGTAACCAACCAGGGCCTCCCCTACTTCACAAACACACATACATATATATATATATATATACATTTTTAATTTTACAAAAATAATATAATACACAGTTTACACAGCTCTATTAATTCTTTAAAGTTACATAGGCAAGGTTTATGCTTCAGTATGACCTTTTTAACTTTGGATTAAAGTGGGAATTTTAGGCCAAAAAAATAGATTCAAGATTACCAAACACAGGCCATATAGCAATAAAGACTTAGTAATAAATCTTGATTCTCACATAACTAGAAATATGTTGCTGTTATCTTTATATTGGGTGCTACATGTCCCTCTGGATTATTTTCATTTTAACTAAAATACAAAAGCAAAATAGTACACTAAAAAAATCCTCTACTCATTACATTAGCACACATACCAAATTATACTAACTGCATGATAATCTCTAAGCACCAAGGCTGTATTTTTAGCATGTGCTCATCTCTACTTCATTAAATACAGCACTGACAGCAACATGAAAGAAATGCATGCTGTACAGCAAGAGAAGAACAATTTGCAAACTGATACCATACATGACAAAACGAGAAAATAAATCTTACAAGATATATATAAAATTAATTTACAGTGGCTTTTAATACACAGTTTTATGAGAGGAATACATTTAGGTCACAATTACGTGGTAAAACACAAGCTATATGAAATTCTATACTTTCCTCTAGAATATTCAAAATGCTCATCAAAAGTTCATTAGTACAATAAAGATGACCACCAGGTGATTGAATAAACAGAATGTCATTCAGTATTTTAAAAACACAGGTTCTGGGAATAGAAGCTACGCTCTATTTTGCATACTTGATAATAATAAATATAACCATTAAGTGTTTACACAGACTATGAATCCAAGGCAATAACCTAGAGGCTAGTCATGAAAAAAAATAAAAATAAACACTATCCCACCAGACTGAGTACAGAGACCTACTGTTGTTTTTTCCCCACCACATACAAGGGGCAGACATCTCTTGATAGCTCAACTCATTTCCTCTGCCCTCATCAAGATATAACAGAGCCCAAGCTTGGTGCTGGAAAGTCTTTCAGATGCTGGTAAGATTCCTACTCATTTGACTGGACAGGGCCCTCTCCGTGACTCTCAGGTTCTGACTAGCATACCCTCCCTCCCACAGAAGGAGGCAGCACTGTCTCTGAAGCCACGAATGAGGTAACACTAAAAGCATTAGAAGAAGGAGGTATCTGATGAAAAGGCACCGGCAAGTCTGAAGTCCTCTTTGGTGAGAACACTGTACATCCGCTGGGGCAGAGCTTTGGAGTAAGGAGCAGGGCGGGGCACAGTGGTGCGCAAAATAAGCTCCCGGCCAGCAGGGGGTGGGAAATCTGACGAAGAGTTCTGCCTTCTTTCTTCTGGGGAGCCCATTCTCTTCAAATCCTCCTCTGGTGGAGCCATGGTTGCAGCCTTGAAGAGAAAAAATGCTAAACTCAAAAGGGCGTCAAATAAGAAACTCAGATATTTTTGAAAGACAGATGAATAAACATGATAATATACATCAAAATGTTCTACATTACTCAGTAACGCAGTCAGCTACGTTATGATTACTCAAATACACAATACAGAAAATGCAAGAAGCTTGAAACATTGTATGAGCAGCCAGAGATTATAAATAAATTGGTGGTAGAGACAGAAGGGATAAGGACTGTCAGGCAAATCTGCTTTGAAAAGCGAGGGCCATATTCAGACAACTGATGAAAAGGGACAATATAATGGAGCTGTGCTGGTTTCTTTATGTTTTTCTTTTGCAATGACCCCAGCCAAAGTCTGATGCCCTCAGTCCAGTAAAGAGCTGTTTCTCTCCAGAGTCTGGAAGGATGATTTTTATCTCAACCTTTTCAGATTCATTTGCCAAATTAAAACAGGGGAATTTGGTTTTGTTTGCTGGGCCACTAATGAGATCCAGAAGTGGTAAAAGTCCATGAAGCAATGGTCACAAAAGAGAGTTTGTAATAGTAAAAGTTCCCATTTCTTTAACATTTCATAAAATACATGATTTAATTAGACCCTTCATTTTAAGCTCTGATCACTCTACGTCTTTAAATCAATATCATCGATTTGGGAAAAAAAAAAAACTATCAACCAATCATTCTGGTAACAGAAACATGAAATCACATTCTGCTAAACACCAGCAAAAAGGTATACCAAATCCAGACTGTTAAAGAGGTGGTTAGTCTTAATGACCTTATGAAGTTAGAGGCATGGGAAAGAACAAGGAACTATGAGGGACAAAGGCTATTTTGTTACCTCATCAGAAGATTCAGTCAGCTTGAGAAAGGGTGAGAGAAGAAACAGTGATGAAAGGGAAACAAGCAAGATGGTTTAAAAAGGGCTAGACAAGAGATTTCAAGATTATTTCAGAGACAGCATGCGCTGCATTAAGGAACATGATCCTATCAAAAGAATATCAAGACAAAGTCACACACACAATACACCGAGCTGTCAAATACAGCAGACACATCCCACTAGTCATGCATCTGATGGTCCAACAGGTGAGGTACAAAGTGTCATTTAATGGAAAAATGGTACAACAAAAATCTAGCTCTTCTAGTGAAAAATTAAGATGCTAAAAAAAGTGTTCATGGCTTGAAAAATAGATAATCCAATGAATTTAAGCACAAATGTCTAAGACTGAAGTAAAATCCAGTAAGTCATTTATTTGCTGAATGCCATTTAAATATCTATATATTACGGAGGCATACACATGATCAAGTTTATTAAGAATTTATACTTTTAAGGAAAAATATAAGTCCATAAAATGACTATGCTATAAAAAATTCCATCATAACTTTTAAAAAAAGTTAAAACCTTGATTAATAAAATTAATAAGGTATCAATTAATTATGAAAAACAAAAAAGTTCATAATTTTAGCAGTTTGCTTTTAGCTACATATTTAAGAACTGAGTTTAAAAATGTACCAACCAGACTGCCTATTATATGGGTTACACAGTCTTAAGCTGCCTAAAAACATTCGCTACAAAGTTTGAAGTTTGAAATCTCTTAAAATTACATGTGTGATGAAGGTACAATTTAAGTATCCATTAACAGCGTTTAGTTATTTATACAATGAAATGCAATGAGGACATTAAAAAAGATGATAACACTACCACATTTATTGATGTAGAAAGAACATAGTAAATTATATAATCCTATTTCTGCAGAATATACATATATTTATCTATATATTAAATGTTGACAGTGATCATCAGTGGACAGTGAGATTATTTGATTAATTTTTTCTTTAAAATTTTCTGTATTATCTTTTTATAATGAACCTTTATTTAAGCCTGGGGGGCAAAGGGAAGCTATTGCCATTTTGGGGAAAATAATTTTGCTTACCCATCCAAAACAAGTAACATTTTCAGTATTAAAAATAAAAATACTTTAGATTTTAAATCCTTATAACACACAATTTAAAAAAAATGATCAAAGAGGCAAGCGTTTTTGCAATATGAGGAAAATTCATACTGGTGGTACCAAGGGAATGTGCTTGTAAGCTTCTGGCTAGTGAGCTGGCAAAGATGCAACAGGATGTGAAAACATACTAGGTTCTTGGTTACATGCCAGTGACAAAAACAAAATAAATCAAAGTAAGCATCTATTGTTTGCTAGAACTCTAAATTATAAGGAAATAAAATACTTGGTTTTTCACTTGAAATTCTTAAATTTAGGGAGTTTCCTGAAAAATGATCTCAATTTTTAGCTTTTGCTAAAAATTCAGATCAGTATTTGACTACTGTTTTGAATATGTTAAGCAGATGTATTTCAGATGGACTCTAAAAGGGATTATGAAGTTATTCCATGTGTAGGCGTATGAAAATTCTTTTTATTTAATTCTGAGAATTATACCCTCAAAACTGGGTCATTATAGTGTCATCACAGTGCCAAGTAAGGGGCAACCAGTACCTAGCGCACATCCTAGTATTTTTATCAGAATCTCTGATATGAACGAGCACCTCTCTAACCAGGAAACATGATCTTTGTAAACCATTAAGAGAGTGTACCAGTACAAAGCAGACTTAATGTCACCTTCATAAAAATTCAAATCTTAATAGCTCATGAATGTCAGAAGGGACTACATAAATTTTAAACCTCCACTAGTAGAGGCAAAGATGAATTAATTTTCCAAATTGGGCTTTCCTTCTGTGCTGAAGCCTCAGTTTCTATAGTCCTAAAAATCTGAAATATTCCTCTTCGTTCTCAGGAAACCTCTAACGTTAGATCTGTCTTCACTATTACAAGAATAGTTACTTTTACAATTCAAACTAAGTTGTGAATCCATTTGCAGTACAGGCAGTCCCCAGGTTACGAACGTCTGACTTAACAGACAACTGGTACTTAAGAACGGACTGCCATAAAGCCTATTGTATTAAAAATTTGAGTTAAATACATACAACTGTTTGTAATAATGCGCACACACAACTTTGTGAGGCTTATGAAAACACTGTGCGGTCTGGAACTGTTCCTAAGTTTTACATATGTATAGAAAGGTAAAATATATACTATATACTAAGACAAACATTTGACTAACTGATGCTACATAAGAATCTTATGTATCTGTTCGACTTACCTACAAATTCAATTTAAAGACAAACTTAGGAACAGATCTCATTCGTAACCCGAGGACTGCCTGTATGTGGGGTTTAAAGATGGTATAACAGTTGAACTCTATTCTAATTTGAAAGTCGTAAAACATTTTTTCCACAGCACAGCACAGCACTGGCCACTGCTGAGTACCTACCAACTTCTGTAACAATGGATTTCAGACCCTTCTAATTTCTGAAATTTATGTCCTAAAATATGCTTACCATTTTACCTAAACCAACATAGGAGAGCAAATGGATTTCAAAGACTTAGAAGTCACAGTAAGAGTAACTGCTCCTTCGATGTTCAAATCCAATGCAGATTTATACTCAGCAGCTGTAAAATCAGCTGTGTGTGTGGAAGTCAAAACCGCATCTTACTGAGTAGCAGTCTGGGGAGGTGATGACACAGTAACTAAGGAATCTCACATACCCTTTGTGCATTCACAAACAGCTTGTGAACGATCCTGCCAGCATGTCCTTGTCCTGCACCGACGACTAACACTTCAGGCTGCTCCAAAAGGCAACTCACAAACCTAGGAGAGAAGTGGTGGAAGAATGGAAAGCGAGCTGCTCAGTTCACGTTGTGTCAATCCTCCCAGATTAACTTTGTTGACAAATCTTCAAAATGACACTGGCTAAATCTACCAACGTGGCAGTGAAAATTTTAGACAGGAAGACTGACATTTAGAATTAAAATCAACTCACAATTGTCTTTTCAATTGTTTTCATAAAAATTTTTGAAACCCTATTTCTGTCAAAGCATTAAGATGAAACAGTCAATCTTTTTCTGACTAGAAGCTTAAGAAATGCTACGCTAAATAAAAGATCAATTTTAGGGGAACAACAGAAACAAAGCTTTATGTATCCAGCAAAGCAACGACCCTTATTTCTAGTTCTTGTTCTTCTGAGTGGGGTGTGTGCATGTATTGTGTGTGTGGTTTGTATATGCTTAAAATACGTTTTGCTGGGCAAAGTCTCAATGGTAAACAGTGTCATTACGTGCTGGGAACACTGTAATTCCAAGTATATCACAGATAACGTATGGTGGAGCTAACAGAGTCGGAGGCTCAGAGCCACCACGCCCGCACCACCTGCTCACTAATTCATACCGCTATTTTAGAAATGATTCCATTGATTAGAGATTATTCTTTTCACTTAAAAGGAAGGAATTTTCAAGAGCAAAGAAGGCCGGCAGAAAATTTTGCTCAACAAAAGACATAAAATAAATTTCAAACAAAAACTTATTCAAAGCTATAGCAAATGCCTTGTCATAATTACTTATTATTTAGCGTCAATAATGCCATTACTTGTGGAATTTTAAGGCTAATGACAAATTTTAAACATATGACAAATTCGAGTTGCTGAACAAGCTAATTTGGAAACACGTTCTCTATGATTATTAAAACAACACTGTCCTTTGAAGCACTGTGGAGAAACAAGCAGGGACTCATACTGACAGGGGCACCACTGGCAATGGTGCTGAGTTTCATGAGGAGGAAAAGACCGCCCGATTATTTGTTTTATCTTGGAGAGGCCATCTGGTCACTCTTTCAAAACATATTTGCAAGATACATGGGATGTGCACCTTTGCTATCACAAATCTTTCTAAAAATAAACAACTAGGACTTATCAGCAGAAGTATAGTTACAGAACATCTCGCACTGTGGCCAGGGAACAGTGAGAGCAGAAAGCAAAGCTTTGGGGCACTGGGAGTAACAGTTAATAGCTCCTCCAAAGGAAAGTGCAGGCACCACAATCTTCAAGAGCAAACAAAGAAACCTCTAGAAAATGGGACTCTGGTAGACTTTTCTAAAAGTGAGAACACCTGGCAAATACTCAGAAATGCAGTAAAGGTCAAACCTTATGAAAATTAAATATATTTCTCTGTCTTTAAACCAAAACCAAACCCACTGCCATCAAGTCGGTTCCGACTCATAGCGACCCTATAGACAGAGTAGAACTGCCCCACAGAGTTTCCAAGGAGCAGCTGGTGGATTCAAACTGCCGACCTGGTTAGCAGCAGAGCTCTTAACCACTTGACCACCAGGGCTCCTAGTCAATGCTTATTTCAAATAATATTTGAGTACCACAAAAGAATCTCAATATTCTGTTACAATCTCTCTGAAGAGAGTGGCAGCTTTTCCTTCTGTTAGCCGAGCAGCAATACCTTTCCAAATCTTCCCTTTCCTCCTCTTGTTCACATTTCTCAGTTCCAAACTTGGCTTTCAGTGATCGGGCTCTAGCAATTGTAGCTTCCACAATAGTAATCTGAAGGATGATTTCCTAACAGTGAAAAGAAGAGACATACATTGGAAGACAGCAAAAAGCAAAGTGTTTAAAAAATATATATCTTTAAAATAATTATTGCCAAGTAGGGAGAACACTTGGCAAGATTCTGACACTACATCAAACTTACTTCCAACTTCTTGTCTTCTGGATTGGGGAAGTGCAAAACTTTACTGGAATGGGATATTATCTGCTTTATAATCTTCTTAACTGAAGAAATGTTCTCCAGACTTTCTATTTTTGAAAAGATTACAGTCATCATTAAATAAGTTAGGCAAAATATACTTTCATTTTGAAAATGAACTAATGACTAATCAAATAAGACATTTACCTTCTTCTTTTACCTTGAGAACAGCTGCATGAATTACACAAGGTAACAGGTGCCGAGCAAGGTCTGCAGGTTTCTGGACTGCCAGGTAGTGCAGTACCTGAAGGAGGTATGATTACATAAAAGATCAACGTAGTTGTCGAAGGATGAAGCAGCCATTTATCTGAGTACAAAATCCTCTGGACCACTGAACTTACATCTCTAATATGCGAGCAGAAGAGTTCTCCTTTCTACTTAGCACCTACCGCTACCCATCCAAGAAGTAGCTCCTATTCCCAAAGGTAAGAATAACGTTGCTGAAAGCAACAAGGAACTTCTATCACTAAAAAGGATGAATATTCTCCTAATGTTTTTTCTGCTTATATATATAATACATGCAAAACAGGAAAATACAAGAAAATAAAAACCATCTGCAAATTACATCACCTAGTGATAGTAACTGTTAACGGTGTATTTTCATTCCAGGATTTTTTTAAGATTTGGAGTACACAATATATTAAGTGTATTAATATCAAGTACGTAAAATGATGTTTTATAATCTGTTTTTCTCACTCAATATTTCTAAACATTGCTAATAACCTACCACTAATTTTTTTCGGTTTTAGTTATTGTTTATTGTTCTTTTTCCAAAATGGAAATTGTTTTATTATTTTTCTGAATATAAATATATACAGATGTACAAATGTAAAAATTCTCCTGAAATCTTATTTTCCAAGGAACAATACTTTTTGTGTTTATCCTCTTGTTTCTGCACTCATTTAAACATGGAAATATAGACACATATGTAACTTCTTAACAAAAATGCACTATATATACTGTTTTATAACTTGCTTTTGTTCACTTACTGACTTTTAGTGGATTTTTATTGTTTGGCTTTGGAGGGTTTTATGGGATTAAAACTTTTTTAAAATTAGGAATTATACATACCACAGTATTTATAAGTAATCTAAAGAAAACATGAATTACACATACCGCAATATTTATATAGTCTAAAACAGCATGAACACTAACCACCCAACTTCAGCAACAGTACTTTCAAGCACCTCTGTGTGCTCTACATGATCAAGTCTCCCTCCCTCACCCCAGAAGTAACGACTAATCATTCTTTTTGTTTTTCTTTAGTTTTCTCACATAGGTATTAGTTAGTTTTGCCCCTTACAGAAATGGAATCATCCTGTTCATAGCTCTCAGTGACTTCTTGTATTGATCCAGCACTACGTTTCTGACATTTACATATGTTGATACATGCTATAGATTATTTATTTTTACTACTGTATTAAAATGCTCCCCCACTGATGATGGACTTTTGTGGTTTTCTCCAATTTTTGGCTATTACAAATAGTGCTCCTATTAACATTATTAGCAAGTTGCTAAGGAGCCCTGGTGGCGCAGTGGTTAAGCACTCAGCTGCTAACCAAGAGGTCGGCAGTTCAAACCCACTAGCTACTCCTTGGAAGAAAGATGTGGCAGTCAGCTTCTATAAAGATTTACAGCTTTGGAAACCCTCTGGTGCAGTTTTGCTCTATCCTATGGGGTTGCTATGAGTCAGAGTTGACTTGACAGTAGTGGGTTTTTTTTTTTTGGGGGGGGGGTTGGGTATATGTCTCCTGGTGCACACGTAGAAAAGTTTCTCTGAGGTATATACCTAACATGGAATTAGGATATGTACATGTAATGCCGAATTATTTTACAAAGTGTTTCAACAAACTTACTCTTCCAAGTTTTTAAAAAATTATTTGAAAATAATTTCAAACTCACAGAAAAACAAGTTTGCAAGAATCGTACAAAATACTTGTATACCCTTTACCCAGATTCACTCATCTGTGTGTACACACACACACTTTTTTTTCTGCATAAGTTGACAGTAAGCTGCATACATCATGCCTCTTTATCCCCCAAATATCTCACTGTGTACTGTCTAAAAGTAAGAATGTACACTTACACTTTCTTAAAGTAAATTTAACACTGATAAAATACTTTTAATCTAACCTGTCATTACAATTTTGTAAAATAACTTAATAATGCCTTTTATTACCTTTTCGCCACATCAGTACAGGATCTGTAGGATCCAGTCAAGGATTATGTGTATTCCCGTTAGCTATCATACTTCTACAATCTAAGTTAACCTGAAACAGTTTCTCAGTCTGTCTTTTATAACCCTCTCTTTTAACTCAAGTCCATACTCTATTCAGATTTCCTTAGTTTTTTTTAAAATGAGATATAATTCACATAGTCTAAAATTCACCATTTTAAAGTACATTTCAGTGATTTTTGGCGTATTTACTATCATCACTGTTTAATTCCAGAACATTTACATGACCTCAAAAAGAAACTCATTAGCACTCACTACCCATTTCCTCTGGCTCCTCCAGTCCTAGGCTTGTATGTTTAATTTTTCCATGTGAACTTTAGTGCCAACTTGTCTGGCTCCATAATAAAGCTTGTTGTTATTTTCATCAGGATTGCACTAGATCTATAAGTCAATTTAGAGAGTGTTGATCCTGATGATGTTGAGCATTCTAACCAAGAACAAGGGATACTTTTCCATTTGTTCAATTATTTTTGTGTTTTTCAGGAGTGCTTTGTTTTCTTCACTCAGCTCTGAAACATTTCTTGTTAAGTTTATTCCTAAGTATTTCACTCCCCCCTTATAACTCTTATAATGAAGAAAAAAATGTCATTTACATTTTCTGACTCATTATTTGTGTATATGAATGCTACTGATTACTGTATATTAATTTTATATCCTGCTACTTTGCTAAATTCTTTAGTGTGAATTAGTTCTGTCATTAATTCTGTAGGTTTTTCCAGGTATACTATAACATTATCTGCAAACAGAGAGTTTTATTTCTTCTTTTCACTTCCTGTGTCTCTGTTTTCTCTTGGTTAATTATTGGTTAATACCTCCAGAATAATGTTAAAAGACATTGGAAATAGCATGTATCCTAATTTCCCCTTTAAGTAAGGCTAGCTTTAGGACTGAGGTCTGCATATTTTTTATCATGTTATAGAAGTGGTCACTCATTCCTAGTTTCTCAAGAGTTTTTTTTTTTTTTTTAAATTAGGAATGAGTGTTAAACTTTATCAAAGACATTTTCAGCCTATATGGAGATAATCAGATGTATTAATTAGTGAATTATATCAACAGATTTCCAAATAATCATCCTTGTACTTTGTGATGGTGTATTATTTTCCTAAAGTGGTAGCAGGGTATTACTGGTCTGTAATTTTTTGGGGTATGCTATCTTTATCGGGTTTAGGTACCAATGTTATACTTGCTTCAGAAAAAGAACTTGGAAATTTTCCTACAATTTCTATGCTTTGAAATGTTTTTTGTAGCATTGGGACTATCTGGTTTTTTGACATTTAGTAGAAATCCTCCGTGAAACCATCTTGGCCTGGTGCTTTTTTATGGGGTAGTTCCTCGATAACTTTTTCTATTTCTTCTATGGAAACTGGTTTACACCTTCTGTCTTTATTGGGGTCAGTAATTTTTTTCCTTAAACTTCCCATCTCCCTCTCCTCCCAGGCCATGGCCACTAATCTTTTGTCCTGGTGGATTTGCCTATTCTAGGTATTTCATATAAGTAGGATCATACAATATTTGTTCTTTTGTGTCTAACTTATTTCACTCAGCATAATGATTTCAAGGTTCATCCATGTGGTAGCATGTATGAGAACTTCATCTCTCTTTATGGCAGAATAATATCCTATTGTGCGCATATACTGTTGTTGCTGTTAGGTGCCATCGAGTCAGCTCCAACACATAGAGACCCTATGTACAACAGAACAAAACACTGTCCAGTCGTGCACCATCCTCATAATTGTTGCTAAGTCTGAGCCCACTGTTGCAGCCACTTTGTCAATCCATCTTATTGAGGGTCTTCCTCTTTTTCGCTGACCCTCTACTTTACCAAGCATGATGTCCTTCTCCAGGGACTAGTTCCTTCTGACAACATGTTCAAAGTGCATGAGATGAAGTCTCGCCATCTTTGCTTCTAAGGAACATTCCGGCTATACTTCTTCCAAGATAGATTTGTTCATTCTTCAGGTGTATGCTACATTTTGTTTATCCATTCATCCATTGATGGTCAAGTGTTTTGTCTCCACCTTTTGTGAATAATATTGCAATGAACATTGGGGTACACCTATCTGTTGGAGTCACTGCTTTCAATTACTCTGGGTATATACCTAGGAGTGGAATTGGTGGGGGTCACCATGAGTCAGGGACTGACTCAAAGGCAGCTAACAACAACAACAGTAATTCTATGCTTAACTTTCTGAGGAACTGCCCAACTGTTTTCCATAGTGGCTGCAACATTTTACATTCTCAACAGCAATGTATGAGTCTTCTAATTTCCCCATAATCTTGCCAACTGGGGTCAGTTTTGGTACACTCTATTTTCCTAAGAAACTATCCATTTCATCTTGGTTTTCAAATTTATTTCCACAGAAATATAAATGGTAGTTTTTTAACAATACTTATTTGCCTCTTGTCATTTGTTTTGTATATGCATGCTTTCCCCTTTTTATTCTTGGCTAAAGGTCTAATGGTTTATCTATTTTGTTGATTTTTTTTAAAAAAGAACCAGATTGACTATTTTGATCTATTTCTGTGTTCTCTACCTCATTATTTTCTGCTTTTATCTTTACTATTTCCTTTTGTTTTCCTTTTTCTATCTAGGCTTATGGGTTAAGAATTTAATTCACTTATTTTCATTCTTTTGTTTTTACTGATATACATGCTTAGGGCTATAAATTTTCCTTTGATCACTTCCCTAAAAATATCCTATAAGTTCTGTATGCAGTGTTTTCATTATTATTTTTCAAAAGTTCCATCATTTCTCTTCATATTTTTCCTTTCACTCAAGAGTTGTTTAACAGAAGGTTTTTTTAAATTTGCAGGTCTCTTTTTGGTTTGTTTCAATTTTTTAATTTCTAGTTTACTGCACAGAAATTAGAGTACTAGTTGTAATAGCTTTCTTTATGCCACAATATATCAATTTTTGTGAACGTTCCATGTACGTTTAAAAAGAAGGTACATTCTCTATTATCCAGGTATAGTGTTCAATATATATCTAAAAGATTCACCTTACTGGTTATCTTGTTTACATCTTTCCTATTTTTTGTCCCCTTACTGTGTTGTACTGAGAGTAAGGTATTAAACGTCCTGTTGTTAGTGTGTTTCGATCTATTCCTCCTTGCATCTGCAGTGGTATCTGCCTTATACACATGGTTACTGTAATATCTAACACATAGACATTCAAAATTGTTATATCCTCATTGTGAAATATAACTTTTAGATTATAAAGCATGCTTTCTTCTCTCATTTAATGACTTTTTGCTTTAATTCTACTTTGGTATCCTGAGTGCAAGCCCTGCTTTCTTATAGTTTCCATTTGCCTGGTAAATCTTTGTCCATCCTTTAATTTGCAGCCTTTCTGAATTATTGAATTTTAGGTGTGTCTCTTGTTTATAGCAGACAGTTTGGATTTATATAACTATTCTTATATTTTAATTTTTCTGTGTGTTATGTAGTTTTTATTATGCTTGTTTCTCTATTTGGTGTGTCTGCTTTTTTATTCTAGTAGCTATCTTTGCATTAATATCTTTTATGGTGTCCTAATTCCCTTTATCTGTAACTGTTTTACTATCTGGTCTGATAATTTTAAATGGTATAAGGGAGAGAAAAAGGAGAATGTAGACTAAGATCATTAACTATCTGGGGTGACTGTATACTTCATCTGTATTCTGTGTATCCCTTGGTTCTTTTTCTTTAGTAATGCTGAAGGTATAGGTCTGGGTATTTGTGGATTTATTTGTTATACTTGTTGATTTTATGGGTTTTCTTGGGGTGAAGGGAGATGGGAGTGTATGTGGGGCAATTTAATATCAGAAGGCTTCCATTATTCTTCACACTACCAAATGGTTTTTTTTAATAGTTGCATAGTAGTCCATTGAATGGATGTACCATAATTTATTGAGCAAAGCCTCTATTTTTGTAAACTTTAGTTGTCTCTACTTTTTCACTATAGAACTTTGTTGAACATTCTTGTACATACGTCTTTGCATATTTCTCATGATTTCATTAATAAAATTGGGGTAGCAAAACTGCTAGGTCAAAGGACATTCCCATTTTTAAGGCTTTTAACATACACTCTGAGACAGTCCAGTGTAAGTATTTTATATAAAATACACCTGTCAAATTCTTTGGTCTATTTGTACCTACGTTAAAAATATTACATGTGGAAGGTAGATATAGAAAAGGCTCACTGGATTTCAATGTTCTGCTTCTCAAGTATGTCCAAAGCTCTCATGTCTATGACACTGAGTTTTTAAAATGCCAAAATATTAATTTGCATTCTAGTATTAGAGATCCAAACCCCAATTACCTTTTCTGCTTCCCGTGTATCATCAAAGAGTCTCCTCTGTCTTCTAGCAGGAATTGGCTTAGCTGTTTCCCAGGCCTCTACCCACATATTGCTTGGAATCTTCATTCGGGCACTCAGTTCTCCTTTCAAGACCACATTGCCCTTTTCATCAATCACCTCCTCTTCAATATAGTCCCGGGGAGAATACCACCTCACAAAATCTTCCAGGAAACAACCTGGGTTAGCTGCCTAGAAGAAGGCAAAAAAAAAAAAAAAAAAAACAAACAAAAAAAAACTGCAGAATCAAATAAAAATCAGTGGTTACTGACAAACCTATATTTATGAAATCATACTTTCACAGGTATCTAGTATTTACAATCTAATATGTAAAATAAGTTTCGGTGTTTCCTTTAAAACAAGTCAGATGTTGAAATACCAAAAACATTTTATTTTTATTATCTTGGTTACGTAGGGAAAAAAAACCATTTTCATGTGATGAATTTGGAAATAAAAACTTGATGTAAAGTGAAAATAAGTTTCTTAAACAGATTATAAAGTTACACAATTTAGTTTTAAAGTTATACTGTAATAACTACTCAATACTTAGAAAAGTGTCAAATAAGCTCAAGTCAAGTAAATTAAATAATACACAACATGACTGGAGTAACAACACAATGATGGAAAGGTTCTGCTCTTTTTCCTCAGTAAATCAATACTGGTACTACAGTAAGTATGGGCTAACTTCAAAAATGTTCTATTTAGCCATCCGATTCTTTTTTTTTTTTTTTTT